TTAGATAAAAAACTGGAAGAACTAACTCAACAATTAAATCAGCAAGAAGTGGCTCAAGCCGCCAGCAAAAAATCAATGACTAAATTCATGCTCTTTTTGATTATTTTCTTATTAGAGTATGTCGTTTACAAAAAAAATGGAGTGACTGGCTTAATTGTCTTAAATGTCATTTTGGCTATTCTCTATTACAAAAAAGACCAAATTATGGAATATTATGACTTATGAGAAAAATATTTCTTAATTATTGGTTATGTCATGGGGAATGTCATGGCTTATAATAGCACGGATAACCCTAATGGCAAATGGCCAATGGTTATTGGTTATAATGCCATAATTGGACTGATTTATGGTTATACTTACTGGGAAAGATTAGGAGGCAAACAATTGGCCGAAAAAACTTATCAGCAACAAATCGATAAATTACGCCAAGAATTTCAAGTCAATCAGGAAGAATGAGAAAAAGTTCAGCAAATGTCTCAATCTCCAACTCCCCAAACTTGAACAGAAAAAATAAAACAAAGTGATTATAATCTTTACTCTGACACTAGCACCCAAATTAAAGCCCAGGAGTTAGAGAATTTAAAAGCGGTTATCTTGGCCAAGGAGGAAGCAGTTAAAAAAGAAGAAGAAATGAAAAAACAGGCTGAAACTCTCCAAAAAGCCGCCGAGATAGAAAAAAATCTGAAAGAAAGTCTAAGTCAAGTGCAATCTAATCTCCAAACTTCCCGGATGACTTGAAGCAAAATTAAAGAAAGATATCCCGAATTTGAAAGCAAATCATTGCTTTTACAGGAAATAGAGAAAGTTAATAAGATTCTCCAAGGAGAAAGAAAAGTTGAGCAAGCCAAAGTTTTATTGGCTAAATTAGAAAAATTACCGGCTCTTACTCCCGCCGAACAAGCCCTTTTAAGTCAACTATACTTAACTCCCGAACAATTGGCAGCAATTGCTTCCCAGGCTCAATATTTAACTAAGGAAGAACGAAAAGAAATCTTAATTAATTTCCCCGAATTCAGCCTACCCTTAAAATTAGGCTTAATTAATTCTGGTTTAAATAACTTAGGGGTTAATACACTTGAAAAAAAACAAAACTTTGTCCAACTAAATCATCAAATTTATCAAGAAAAAAATAATTTTGGTCTCACTGTTCAAGAAAAAGAAAATATTCTTCGTTTATTAATTACTAGTTTAGATTTAACCACTGAACAAAGAGAAAGCCTAGAAAAAGCAGGAATTAGGTTTTTTGATGCCTCTCATTGACAAGTAACCGCTGAACAGAAAAACGATTTACTGAAATTTGCCGTTGAAAAAGTTAATTTAACCGAAGAACAACAAGCCGAACTAACTGTAATTCACCCGGATGAGCTGAAAAGTTTTGCTTTAAACGAACAGCAAGAAAACTTATTAACTACCTTAGCCCCCTTAACGCGGGAAGATAAATATTCGGAAGAGAGTTTAAAATGACTCCGCTCTTTATCCTTAAAAACTAATCAACTCAATTTCTTAGTTCAAGAGAAAATCTTACCTAATCCTAATTTAGACTTTGGGGAAGTTAAGGATACTTATTTACCATTAAAAACTAAATTCTTACAAGGAGAACAAAAAATACTCCAAAAAGCCACTGAACAATTAAAAAAGCAACTTTCCCAACAAGAACTCCAAGCGAATAAACAATCAATTCTTGATTCCTTACTCGTTTTTGCTGAACAATGACCAGACGAGGAAGAGAAATTATCCCACTTAAATCTGACCTTAGATAGTTGGGTTAAATTAAAGGCTTTAAAAGGCTGACAAAAAGATATTTTATTAACTTGTGGCTTAAAAACCATTCCCCAATATAATTTCTTTGAATTATTAAGATTTGTGGTGGAGAACTTAACCAATCAATACCATTTTACT